ACATGTCCGTGTTCCAAGTCCAATGTTGGATGATGGCGACCCTTGTACGTTAGACTCTAACAGGAGTAAGCGAGTGAGTTAGATTTAAACTCCCTTGTCAGTTATATCACTGCTTGTGAGCTTAACGTGGGATGAAAATGAGTGAATGAGTATGGTTTTACGCCGCTTTTAGCAATATTCCAGCACGGCGGGGGACACCAGAAATGGGCTTCACGCATTGTACCCATGTCGGGAACCGAACCCGGGCCTTCGGCGTGACGAGCGAACGCTTTAACCACTGGGCTACCCGACCGCCCCGTGGGATGAAAGCCTAAGTGATGCATGTCTTAGACATTTAACACGTTGGTGAAACCCTAGAACACGGGCATGGTGCTGACAAACCTAGAAACATGACCAGTAGAGAATCTTGGAGTCGACCCACGATAATAGCGAAGTGCGGCGCATTAGACGACTAGATGAGACTGGAACGCTAGTGGAGAGTGTGGACTATTTCGTGTACTGTTGTGTCAACATGGAACGTATTTACCGCTGATGGTCAGTCGTGATCTCTCGAGGGGAGACGGGTGGGGGTATTAAGGACAGTGGTGGTTCGTCAGCCAGAACAGGCCGATTGTCATTATGGGTTCAGTGACTGAGGACCATTCCTCGTGCCCCACTAGAGAACAGCTCTATTTAACGGATATTGACACTTAACAACAGCTGGGCGGTATATAACGGTATATGACACTTAGTCCAACAAGAGCTGTGCGGTATATAACGGTAATTGACACACTAGAGAACAGTTCCTTTTAACGGTAATTGACACTTAACAACAGCTGTGCGGTATATAACGGTAATTGACACTTAACAACAGCTGTGCGGTATATAACGGTGTATGACACTCAGCCCAACGACAGCTGTGCTGTATGTAACGGTATATGACATCTAGCCCAACAACAGCTGAGCCGCATATAACGGTAATTGACACTTAACAACAGCTGTGCGGTATATAACGGTGTATGACACTCAGCCCAACGACAGCTGTGCTGTATGTAACCGTATATGACATCTAGCCCAACAACAGCTGAGCGGCATATAACGGTAATTGACACTTAACAACAGCTGTGCGGTATATAACGGTGTATGACACTCAGCCCAACGACAGCTGTGCTGTATGTAACGGTATATGACATCTAGCATAACAACAGCTGAGCGGCATATAACATTATATGACACTTAACAATCATGAAATACGGGCGGTGAGCGAGCCCAGTGGTTAAGCGTTCGCCTCACGCCTTATTACGGGGTTCGAGTCCCCACACGGGTGCAGTGTGTGTGAAGTCTATATCGAATGCTCCCCGGCGTGACATGAGTTCAATATAGCTAAACGCTAGAAAACAACGTCCCAGGGCGATAGAATGTATTGTTTCAAATTACATCTATTTTTGAAAGCTTCGCTGACGTTCTCCGACCGTTTCGAGGTTGATGATTAATCAGAGAGTGCCTGAATTGAGGACATATCCAAAAAAAAGAACAACTGAACTGTTTAAATAAAGGACAAAACATTGATTGAGCAAAGAAATTTAAAAAAAACATATTTTTCTAAAACATTTCCCTGTTTTTTCACTATTAGTGCAATCGATAGGCCACACATGAATATTTATACAGTATTATACCTGTTTTCATTAGGCTAGAAAATATCCACATCAAATAGCCAATCAATGATTGTCCACATAGCTAAAGCAAGTCAAACATCCACCAGTTACATGCACACAGAGCGATCTTACACGGAAACCAGGCACCTATCTCCAGCCATGACGTCAGTGACGTCGCTATTCATATTTTACCCACATTTGAACATAATTGACACATATTTCACAGAGTTTCCCCATCGAGGATGCTTCCTCCTCTGCCTCCAGCATCCTTCTCCTTGAAACATATAAATATCACAAGGTTGAGTTTACATTGAGATTAACAAATACATTCTCTTAACATATCATTTGTGAATGTGGACTAGTATTGACTGACGGGACTGAGTTAATATGTTTTTACAGGAATCCAAACACGGCCAGTTGTGTTGGTAACTGGAAACATTAATGTAATGTGTAGCGATGCGGTCTGACCTTGCAACCATTGAAACATAGAGTCACAAAACTCAATGTTAAACTAACAACCCTGTTGACTGATCAAATTGAAAATAGATTCTCGGAGTTAATCTTTATAGGGGTACAAACGAAACATAAATGCTGGAATTGATATTTGTTTCGTCAATTCAGATAAAAACCTGTGGTCGTCAGTCAGGTGATGTGAGAAGCGTTCCAGGGATGATTGCGTCAAAAATAATATTCAATATTAGAGATTAGACAATTAATTTGGAATCTACCTCCTCAAGGCCATCAAACACTTAAAAAATGACGTAGCCGGAGAATGTTTCTGAATTAGAAAAATTACATGTTTACAATTTCGCATTTTCAAATAGAATGTCTCTTTAATGCTATTTCAAGAAAGCATTGTTTTTCAAGAGAAATGTTTATTGTTTTGAACTTGAAGATTTCGGTGCATGTGTTTCTGTTTTTAACCACAACCATGTCTTCTGCTGGCCTCTATTAATAATCACAGAAACAGATCTTTGTGTGTAATTATTCTTAATTTAATACCATGCTAATTGTGTTTTCACGTTTGCTCTAACAAATAGTTTTACTGCTGTGACGTCAGGCAAAAAACACTTACTTGTTTATGCAAAGTGCAAAATAGTGCAGGATATATTGACCCTTTTTTAACACCTGGTGTCATCAAGGGATGCATCATATAATTTTCACAGTTTTTTGCCTTTAACGTCCAATGGAATGTGTTTCGGCGGATAATCAAGACTTGTCTCCAGCGTTTACGTCTAATATATACTGTAACAATTGGCTTTTGTAACCTGTTCCCTCATTTCGATTCCATTTTTGTAAGATTTATATAGCTATCGTTCATATCAAGATAGTTGTTATTGTTATGAAGATAGTTATTATTGTTATGAAGATAGTTATTATTGTTATCAAGATAGTTATTTTTTGTTATCAAGATAGTTATTATTGTTATCAAGATAGTTATTATTGTTATCAAGATAGTTATTTTTTGTAATGAAGATAGTTGTTATTTTTATCAAGATAGTTGTTATTGTTATTAAGATAGTTTTTGTGTTGATGACATCAATTTGGGGTAAATATCGCTGTTTCTGCGAGGAAAATATAAACATACAATACAGCCCAACCAAGTCTATAATGTATGGCAAGATTACTTCAGAGAGTCTCTGGGCTCATTTCTGTTATATTTGTATTAAGATAATTCAACAACCGTTTTCTTCTGTAAGATATGTACATTTCTGAGACTAGATGTTAGTCTTATTCAAAGGCAGAAGTATTTTTTCTTTTGTTTTCCTTTTTTTACTTTGGGGTACTGAACATGAAACAGATTCCTTCTAGTTTCCACTTTACATATAAAGTATACAGTGCCGATGTTAAACCTCACACGCTGTTGAGAAAAGTGCTTCATCACCCAGTATGTGTGGGCAACGGACTGAATGTGAAACTTGAAGAATGGTTTCCCCACATTGCGTATCAAACACGCAATCATCCCATGATTGACATCTGTAACCTGCAATGCAATACATCTCATGTCCTCATTATTAATAAATAAGTCAATCTTTCAGTATGATTAAATAGTGTTGATCCAAAACGTACTGAATTATAGTACTCAAAAGAAGTCAAACAAAACCCGACTCTTTCATATTACCAGTGTTCATCTGAACATATAGATAAAGTATAGTACAGTCAAGTCCCGACAAGTAATCCGACATGGTTGGTTGCGTATGATTATGTCGGATTAACGAGTATGTCGGATAAACGAAACTAAGTAGTATCAATGTTCGTGATCGAAAATCGGACAACTACACCATACATAACGATACAAACACGTTATGATAAAGTGAAAAATGAAATATTCATATTATTATCTCACATTGTTAGCGGATGTTTTCTAATCATGCAACCTCTAAAGTTTAACACAAAACGGTTACGGAATGTATGACTGATTAAACTACTTTTGAAACAATCGGGTGTTGTTTAACTTCTTTTGAGTAGCATACATGTCCATCATCCTGAAACAAACATAGATTGTTTTTTAGAAATATATCCTAGGATCTTTAAATACTTGTTAATGCCACTTTCTTGTGTTTCTACACCGGTATCCACAACGCCAGTTGATGACAGCATGGTAGTTATATACACGTAGTGGCTTTGTAAACCGAGCCCACATTCCACTCTAATGGCGCTGCGTTCCCATTTTTACAATTGTCTGCAACCGCTAAGGCAAGAAAATTACGTGTGTCATTAAAGAAGCACAAATATTACAGAACATCCTTAATTGTTTCCCAATTCCAGCAGCAAGTGTAAACAATGCCTCTCTGCCTGAACATAACACTGCAGTGTTACGAAACATGGTTTCCCGATTTGTCACTCCGAGTCTCCTTCATTACTAGCACTAGGGTGATTCTGAATGTTTCTAAAACCGAAAAGTAACCAACGGAAAAACCCGAATACATTTGATCATTGCTGTTGTCGGGTTTGTGAAGTGCACTACCCTCCCCTCCCCCCGCGGACAAGTGTAGTTTTAAACAATGGCGGCTTGACTGTCCACCTCGGTTTTTGCTTTCCATCCGTTTGTCCTACACACTTGCAGCTTGTCGTCTCTGCCCTGCCATGTTGACCCTCCTACGGAGCCGAGCTGACAGTGCTGTACAAACACCAGCCCAGACGCTGTAAGGAGCCGAGCTGACAGTGCTGAACAAACACCAGCCCAGACGCTGTGAGGAGCCGAGCTGACGGTGCTGTACAAACACCAACCCCAGACGCTGTAAGGAGCCGAGCTGACGGTACTGTACAAACACCAACCCAAGACGCTGTGAGGAGCTCGCATCAGCATCACAAGCACCAGCAGCAGGCCGGAGAGTCTTGTCATTCCTTGCCCTGTGACGCACCATAGTCGGTCACAAGACAATAGGCCAGTGTTCTCTGCGCATGCCCGTGGCAGCTATATAAGCAGGTGACTTGAGAGAGCAATCAGTTCTGTACGTGGACAGCACCTGCATCCTGTCAGCCCAACATTTCATATACGGCATTCGTGGATACAGAACTTGTATTGAGACCTTATTGGACGTTACCACGGCTTCTGAAGGACCTACCTCTGGAACAATCGTTTGTGCATCAGAGAGTTCACGTGTTCCTTTCACCGTTGACATTCTGACATATTTCTCCAATATGGACGTCCGTCTGAAGTGATAGAAGATCTGTGACTGATTGACCGATAGGTCTCCGTTATTTCAGCTGTATATTCTGTTTCTGTCCATTTCGCTCTTAAAAGCTCTGTGACTGTGTGGCTGTTGGTCTTCCGCTATCTCAGCTGTATTTCTGTGTGTATTTCCTGCCCTATCTGTCCTCTTCGTCATAATACCCAAGCATGTCATCTGCTGCCATGGTTGCTGTCTCTCTCATAATGACCACGTTGACATTGTCTGTGTTACCACCCCTCTGTGACGCTCATGGGCGGCTGATGGACCCGCCAGCCCGGAACAGCATGTGGCGTCTCGGCTTCAACAACCCCGTCAACTACAACGACAACGAACTCTACTGCGGCGGCAGAATGGTGAGTGATCTATGTCCAATGTATTGCACTTAGCATTGCCGCTAGTCGATCTCGAGCAGACAGTACGGGGACTAGGGTAGAAGGAGTGACTTCACAACTCTATATAGATAACCCTCATTACAAAAATATATATTTACCAACATTTGACCGAAAGTAACCGAAATGTCCCTATGGCAGGTTAAGTGGTGTACTGGGAGGAGGAAGAAATCAACGCCAATGTTGCTAAACTGCCCGGCAAAAGAAGTATACGCCGTGTTTGATGATGGCTTAAAGTGAAACAAACGAGAAATTGATATTTGATGGTGATGTCTTTGATACGCATTATAGTTGTATTTTGGACCTTAGTTTGCAGTGTTTCGGGGGCTGTTTTCAGCCTAGTAACGGTTTGGTAACATTTGTAATTGTTTGGTAAAATCCGCCTTTCAAGTGTATACTTTCTTGAGCTCTATACTTAAGTCACAGTAATGACTGAAGTGCCTTCCAATGAAGTTATCGTTAAATGGGCTTAATTTTCGTTTGACTGTGTTGTTCGGCATAGATATGTTTAAAAACTGGAATATTCTGAGTCTTGACAGGAGACATTTGTTCTAATGGACACGATTGTTCTAATGACGCATACTCGAATCAAATAATATGGATGTCTAGTTCCGTCATCAGTGCGGCACCTACCGGCAAACCTCTGGGGTGTGGTCTAGCGTTACCGTGGGGAAAGTCATGGCTAGTCACGGAACTGAAACGCGCACATTTCCGAAACACGTCACTAATGTTACTTCATTTAAAAATTCGTCAGTTTAAGCACGCGACCTTCATCATCATGTCGTGGCATCCACACGGAGGAAACAATTAGGAGTATGATATAAAGAGGCGTGGCCGATAGTCAAGACGATGAATGGCTGAATGAATGATGTGCGCTGGAGGGTAGAGTGGCCATGGTTGTCGCAGGCCATGACGCCTACCCCGACTACAAGAACAGTGGCAGCATACGGTCGGACTGTACTGGGGGACTCGCCTGTGGGGGATGATCCTGGGCTTCTGTCTTGCTCATCGCGCTCTTGAAGCCAAACGTTTCAAATGCCGGGGAACTGTCGAATTGTCTGTAATCATTGTCTGAATGTTTTGTAATCAAATGTAAATAACGTACCTTAGAATAAAAATGTAAAAGAGACTCAATATCCAACGGAACAGACATGATTTCCCTCATGGCGCGACTGCGACATGTCGTGTGGTTTGTTAAGACAAAGCTTCAAATTCCGTGTAATTGTCAAGTCGTTGACATGTTCAGTAAACTGCGTTTATAACGAACTTACGGTTATAACGAACTTACTTTTTGTCCCTAAAATTTGCAATAGTTATGTTGAACGAACAACGGTTATAACGAACTAAAATGAGTAGTCCCTTTGGGTTCGTTATAACCGTAGTTTACTGTAATTATTTGTTAATTACGTAACCTCGAGTTACAATCTAATTCTTGTTCAGGATGAATGCTTGCATTTCCATTCCATGCATGTGAGTGAGTGAGGCACTGTTAGAGCTCCATGCTCTATTGCGGGAGGACTTTGGGAGGGATAAGTGCCACGACGCTTACAAATGTTGCTCTGGGGAGATGTGGGGATGTTGTAGACGCAGAAGTGGCAAAGGGGTGGTCGTTGCACGAGGGAGGGGATGTCATGGTCGCAGCGGTGGGGGTCGGCGAGTAGGGGAGGGGGGATTAGGAACGAGGTTTTCGTGGAACTAGGGGTGGTAGGGCCGAGGATGTCGCACACGAAGAGGAGGGATGGAGGGGGGATTGTAGGGACGCGGTGGCCTTGGAACCAGAGGAGAGGTGGTAGAGTCGAGGAAGTCGCACGGGTAGGTGAAGGATGAAGCGGCCGTGGACGCAAGGGGTCGGGAGGGGTGGGGTCGGGAGGGGTGGGGTCGGGGGTGGGAGATAAGCCACCAACATGTTCCACCTGGGAGTATATTCCCAGGGCGCACGTATTGAAGGAGCGTGGTTGTTTAACGTAATGTAAATTTAATTCCAATTAACATCGGCCCTCCTCCTGTCCACTGATCAATATTTGTCCCCGGGGAATCAGCTTGTCTATTTGGACGCTGGTGGTCAACGCTGGACATGTGTGTTGGCTTGACCAACCCTCAGAGGACAGGTGACTCTTCCGTATGTCGAGTGCCACTTTATCTGTCACGTGAAAGGCGATACTTTATCTGTCACGTGAAAGGCGATACTTTATCTGTCACGTGAAAGGCGATACTTTATCTGTCACGTGAAAGGCGATACTTTATCTGTCACGTGAAAGCCACCGCTTTATCTGTCACGTGGAAGGCGGTACTTTATCTGTCACGTGAAGGCGGTACTTTATCTGTCACGTGAAAGGCGGTACTTTATCTGTCACGTGAAGGCGGTACTTTATCTGTCACGTGAAAGGCGGTACTTTATCTGTCACGTGAAAGGCGATACTTTATCTGTCACGTGAAAGCCACCGCTTTATCTGTCACGTGAAAGGCGGTACTTTATCTGTCACGTGAAGGCGGTACTTTATCTGTCACGTGAAGGCGGTACTTTATCTGTCACGTGAAAGGCGGTACTTTGTCTGTCACGTGAAAGGCGGTACTTTATCTGTCACGTGAAAGGCGGTACTTTATCTGTCACGTGAAAGGCGATACTTTATCCGTCACGTGAAAGGCGATACTTTATCTGTCACGTGAAAGGTGGTGCTTTATCTGTCACGTGAAAGGCGGTAATATCGTTCATATTTTATCTGCCATGTCTCGTATTTCTGTAACGTTTTTGACACAGACGGTTATATTTTAGATGTCGAACTTTCAGTACACTAATGTCCACACAAAGATGCATAAGAAATTGACTGATTTTCCCAATATAAAAAAAAGGTTATGGTTAAATACAATACGAATATGAGCCCTTTGTGCCAACACGTGACTTGTACTTAGTTTTAACCAATCGTCTCCATAGTTATGCCGGGATCCCTAACGCCGATCCCGTACTTCACCGTTGAGATGAGTAAGTATCGTTTTGCCACGGTTTTAGCAGTATTTAGCAATATGACAGCTGGATCCACTGTAATGATAAAGGAGTGATCGAGTTTGTTTGGCTCAGTGTTTCAGTCGCTGCTCAGACTGGTTTTGGCAGAAATACCATTTCACATTCAGTAAATATCCCACCCCTTTTTAATGTGTATACTAATAAATGTACATAAATGTACGATAGCTTGGCCAGGATAACATAGGGAGAGAGGGAGGGGCGTCGAGGTAGGGGTCAGGGTAGGGTCTCTGTGTTGAATACCCCACTCAGACACAGTATACTGACTCCGAGCCGACCAGTCCTTGTTTTAGCCCCTTAATGCCGAGCGCCAGACAGGGTAACAACAAGTACCATCTTTTAACGTCTTTTGGTATGACGCGGTCGGGGATCGAACCCCGGACCTTCCGCTCTCCGGGCGGACGCTCTACCACTAGACCACGGAGGGGATCGGATATCAGAGGGAGAGAGGGAGTGGGGTCGAGGTAGGTGTAGATACCCACGTCATCATTTGTTGTCGAGGTAGGGACAATGGAGGGTCTTTATGCTGGAAGAAGGGATCAAGGTGGCTGACAACGGGGAAAGAGAGGGGGAGGGGGGTAGTGTCTCTGTGTTACGAAGGAGGAGGTGTCAATTCAGTTAGGCTACGTATGTTGTGCCTCCGTCTCCAATTCTCCCCGGGGGCTGCGGCAAGAAGAGGGACCAGGCTAAAGGGGAGGGGGGAGGGGGGGGGGGGGGGGGGGGGGGGGGGGGTGTATGTCAACGGGGCGGAGGTGTCGATCTGGTTAAGTCATGTCTGTTGTTTCTCCTTGGAGTGAGAAAAAACACCATCTATATTTTTTAACGTAATCCAATGTACAACGCTTTATTCTCTAGCAGGAAAGTGATGCAAAACATTATAATCCTCTTCTTAGTTATAAAAAACCCGAACAGAATTGCAAACGTTTCTTTTATCTGGTTCAGTAATAAAAACAGCCAAAAACATGGCGATTGACAAACATGGCATTACCTCGAGTAATACAGAGCACTCGAAGACTTAGTGGCGCGGAGCCGTACCTGCTGGACTCATGTGGCCGATGCGAATCATGCCTTTGTGGTCACCCTTCCCAGGATGTCATCTTTCGCCGTCTCGCGTTTGCTGCTGTCAGCTGTAGGCGACCTGAGACGCCTGAACTTCCAGCTCAGATTACGTGCTCTGTTCACATTCTCATCAGTCCCTGGGGATTTCATCGGTGATGTATTAACCAGACTTTACCTGTTTCTCAGATAGATGAAGAACATCGCAGCCAACTGACGCAGGTAGTCCGGTAAACGTCCTCACACTCTTGGTGAAGCTGGCTTGCATGATCCATTACCTCGAAACCCCTTACCGTCTCCTGACACTCCCAGGGGAGTTAACCCAACCAAACTCAAACCTTTAAGAAAATATGCACGTGTCTTCTGTGGAATGAACAAGCATACGACACAAGTTATGACGAAATGTGGTCTTTTGTTCCTAATCCATTTTCATGATTAATTGACGCTTCCGTGGTCTTGTGGTAGAGCGTCCGCTCGGAGTCGGGAAGGTCCGGGGTTCGATCCCCGGCGTCATACGAAAAGACGTTAATAGATGGTACTTGTTGTTACCCTGTCTGGCGTTTGGCATGTAGGGTCTAACACAATGACTGGTTGGCTCGGCGTCAGTATACTGCAGCTGTGTCTGAGAGGGGTATTCATGTTAAAATGGGACATGGTATCTAATGCGCTTACACTATAATATCAGCATTATTCCGGACTAGTACAAGCAGACACACACAGGTGCGTGCACGTCACTATACTCAACACGTGCAATAATCTTAGACCCGACGTTAAACCCATTTCAACCTTAAGCTTTACAAATTAAAGATTTGAATGACATAAGAGCAATGCTGAACAATGCATGTGTTAGATGCAAGATGTACACAATGATATATTCTATATCATCAAG